AAATGAGTTTGTCATTCTATCAACCTATTAATCCAAATGACTATTTTCTTAACTTTAATAAACATCGCATGTCCTCACTCATAAGTGGGTGTTGAACAATGAGAACATATGGACACAGGGAGGGGAACATCACACACCAGGTCCTGTTGGGGGGTGAGGGGGCTGGATAACATTAGGAGAAATAGCTAATGTAGATGACGGGGGAATGGATGCAGCAAACCACCATGGCATGTGTAAACCTATGTAACAACCCTGCATGATCTGCACATGTACCCCAGAACTTAAAATATAATTTTTAAAAAATGTTACAATGGTAATATATTTAATTAAATATCAAGCTTTGTGAGGACTTGAGTCATGTCTAGTACTTTTTACACAGCATAATATTGAATCTACTCTTGAACTAACAGTAGCTACAGAATAAATATTTTGGTTTTTTTCCCTGACTTACAAAAACTTTTGTTTTTTTCCCTGACTTACATAACCAAATATCTTCTTTTGTAATGAAGTAAACATCAAGTTTAAGACATAATTTGTATTGGACCAGGCAAGGTGCCTCACACCTATAATCCCAGCACTTTGGGAGGCTGAGGCAGGAGGGTCACTTGAATCCAGGAGTTCAGGACCAGCTTGGGCAACAAAATGAGACCCCATCTCTACAAAAAAATTTTTGTCATTAGCCAGATGTGGTAGTGTGCTCCTGTAGTCCTATCTTCCTGAGAGGCTGAGGTGAAAGGCTGCCTGAGGCCTGAGCCCGGCAGAGGGGTAAAAGCTGCAGTGAGAAGTGATCGCACCACAATAGTGCCGCTGCTCTCCAGCCTGGGAAACAGAGTGAGACACTGTCAAGAAATAAAGAAACAAAGAAAGATAAAAAAAGAGAAAGAAGAGAACGAAAAGAAAGAGAGAAAGGAAAAGAAAGAGAGAGAAGGAAGAAAGGAAGGGAGGGAGGGAGGCAGGAAGGGAGGGAGGGAAAGGAAAGGAAGAAAAGAAAGGAAGGAAAAGAGAAGAAAGAAAAGAAAGAAAGAAATAACGAATGAATAAACATACATTTTGTACTAACTTAGCAGCATACCCAACATAGAAAAGCAATCTGCATCATCATGTCATATAAAGGTGAAGAAAACATGTTTATTAAACACTATGTTCTGTAAAGTGGTCTATCTATGAAACCACAGAGGAGAGTGCTGGCCCAGGCTTTGTAAAGCACACAAGGAGCCCCTCATATGGATTTAGTTACTTAGTTTTTCTATTGGATAAAATGTAAAAAAAGACTGGTAGTTGCATGTTGAACTTCTTAATACTTGCTGATCTAAATTTTAAACATGGCTAATCTTGGTAAAGTCAGGCACAGTTAAGAAGAGGGTTCTGAGAGGTCTTACCAAAGTTTGGTCAAGGAGAGTCTTTGTCAACATGCATGCCTATACATATTTGTGTGTATGTATGTGTGTGTCCTTAGACATACTACATTTCGATGCCTGTTACATCTACATTGACATGCTGAGTATGTCAATATATAAATTTAGAATCTAGAACATTTAAAAAAATGTTAAGGAGGAGATTGGGGGTTAGACATAAATTTGAGATTCAGAGCACATTGGTGCTATGATATGAAAGAAAAAAGGAAATTTGATGACTAAGTCTGGGCTTGGAAGTCTAGAAGAGGATCCAGTCACAGAGACTGAGGAGGAGAACTATAAAGAATGAGCCAGTGATTGCAAATAACTTTTCAGGAGTTTTACTATAAAGATGTGCTAAGAAAGCAGATGGTAGCCAAAGGGGAATAAGAATATATGGCTGTAGTTGTCATATTAGTTATATATATGGTTATACATAAAGTACAGATTCTTCCTCAGGGCCTTCACACTTGGCATGCTCTCTCCTTTCTGATCTTTCTATGTTTGGCTCATTCTCATCATCCAGTGTTCTACCTGATCACTGTACCAAAATTTGCTCCCATCACCACTAACCTCTTTTCCCTGCATGTTTTATTTAAATCCATAAAAGTATCAATGCCTAATTGTATAAAATTTATTCATGTACTTATCATCTGTCTTTCCCATTGGAATGTAAACTCTAAGAGAGGAAAACCTGTCATATTCATTACTATAAACTAGAACTGTGAATTGCACAAAAGGTGCTCAATAAATAATTAATGCATGAATTCATGACTGTTTGGATGGTTGTGTGCACACACATGCACACAACCACAGGTACACCCTTTTTTTTTTTTAGATGTAGTCTCACTCTGTTGCCCAGGCTGGAGTGCAGTGGCACGATCTTGGCTCACTGCAGCCACCTCTTCCTGGGTTCAGGTGATTCTTCTGCCTCAGCCTCCAGAGTAGCTGGGACTACAGGCACCTGCCACCATGCCTGGCTAATTTTTTGTGTGTTTTTAGTAGAGATGGGGTTTCACCATCTTGTCTAGTCTGGTCTTGAACTTCTGAACTCATGATCCGCCTGCCTTGGCCTCCCAAAGTGGTGGGATTACAGGCGTGAGGCACTGTGTCCAGCCCACATACACAATGACATGTGATTTATTTAATAATAAGAAGAAGTAAAATTATGTAAAATCTTTTCTCCTGTTCATGTCATGATGCAGAGAGGCAAAATAACAGCATCACAATCAACAGTTTACCAAGGATTTATTTCTTATTTTAATCAAGTGCTCACTAGGGTAAAATTTTTCTTCTTTTTTTTTTTTTTGGAGATGGAATTTTGCTCTTGCAGCCCAGGCTGTAGTGCAAGGGCACATTCTCGGTTCATGGCATCCTCTGTCTCCTGGGTACAAGTGATTCTCCTGTCTCAGCCTCCCAAGTAGCTAGGATTACAGGCATGTGCCATCATATCCAGCTAATTTTTTGTATTTTTAGTAGAGATGGGGTTCCACCATGTTGGCCAGGATGGTCTCGATCTCTTGACCTGATGATCCATCTGCCTCAGCCTCTTAAAGTGCTGGGACTACAGGTGTGAGCCACTGCACCTGGCCTAAGGTAAATTTTTCATACCCATGCCTGTGGTTTTACTTCAGCTAGGTGTCCAATACTCTAGAAAGTTAATACCTTATCATTCAAAAGCCAGCAAGTGGGGCCAAAAATAAAATGGGTGAAAGAAAAGGCCTTATCTAGATTTTAAAAAATATTTTGTAATTCAATACAGTATTATTAAATATGTTTATTTTATTTAACTTGGTAAAAAGTGAAATCATTCAAATCATAGCCAAACAAGATGGATCACGAAAAGGGTAATAAGAAACTGAATTGTAAATAACAGGTAATATGAGTAAATTAAACCTAATGGAAACTTAATAGAAGCAAATTTGTTTCCTATTGGGTTTTCTAATACTTTTGCTGGTACCTAACATGATCACAGGGAAAAAGAAATCTAGTTTAAAAACTTTATGAACAGGAAAAATGCCAAAATATTTGAGAATAAAAAAATATGCATCCATCTGTTTTAAAAGATATAGAAATACTACACGAAGATTCTACATGTACAAAGCTAACTAGAACAGTTCCCCATCCTGGAGAGAAACAGATACAGTAAAGTATGTTAAGTGACAGAAGAGGACTTAGCCTATTATAGGAGTTCTGGGAAGCCCTGCTGGGGTGACAATACCAGACTTAAATCTTAAAGAATGTGTGAGAGCATAGAAACACACAGTGTATGTAGTTTATAATGATATGAAGCATTTGGGAAATTCATAACAAAAATAATATTAAAGAATACATGAAAGTACAGGCATAGATTATTATGTTCATTTTCTCCTCCTACATAAAGAAAATCTAAATTTGTGGCAGGGACAAAAACTTATCTAGTGTCTAGATGCTTGTGTTCTCATCTCTTAAATACTTGTAATGCATATTTTAAATGTAGTCAGAGAACCTAGAGGCAGGAAGATTGGCAAGAATGTAGTTGTTGCTGAAATTGTACACAGCACAGAATGATCAAAAGTCATCCCAAAGAAAAGGCTAGTAAAAATCATTTCTTCTGTGACTTTCTACAGTTAACTATTCAACCATTCTAAGAAAGCACCCAAAGAGAGGTGCTTGCTCAAATTCCAAATGTAGACTCATTGCAGTAAAGATATTTTATGTATGATATAATCACCAGTTCAGTGACATTCCACACTATAAATTTCCTCAATTAATATGTTTCGTTAACACAAATACAGAACTCCTAAGTAATTTTCTAAGGATACTCATAGTCAGAAATAAATATTTAAACATTTTATTCTCCATAATAACATTACCAAATTTTAAAAGTATGACCTGGTCAATGATACTACCAAACATATCCAACCTTTCACAGTGAATTTTCAAAGATCCTTTTTGAATAAATCTCTACAAATTGTTATTTTTCCCAAACACTGAATTCTAACACAAAGAAAACTTCTAACACTTTATAAAATAAGAAATAATGTGGTTCATATGTGAAATAAATTGTTTCAAACATCAAACTTGATATATTTTTAGCTTGTTCTTTTGGGGATCAGGTGAGTTGTTTAATAACATTGAAACATTTCAAGAAATAAGCAGGATTCTCTTAGATTTGCAGATAAGTATTTGAAATTGCTTCAGGTAAGAGGATCAAAGTGAAATAGAGCAGAGAGAAAATGAGAGAATGATATAACGGATGAGATTAGGTGATATGACTGAAGAAAGAAAAAGGAAACAGCGAGGGAATTAAAGAAAATGAACACAGACTTATAGAAACATCCTGCAGAGGACACAGAAAAAGTGAAAAGATTTGAAAGCAACCTACACAAAGCACTAAAGAAAATGAAAATACCAGAATATACATTCTGAAAAGAAAAAGAAGAGGAGGCAATAACTGCTTTTTAGGAAGACAGAGGAGCTAGCAGAAAGTGACACAGGGTGACTCCAGGAGATGAAAATCATAGGAAATGGTGAAAGAGCTGTTCAGGTGTGCTTGTAAATTTAGCCATCAGTGTTATAGGTAACCTCCTGTATGTGTTAAATATCAAATTCAAAGTTCAGTACCTTTGCTTTATCTCTCATTGATCCTTTGCCCAGGATAGACATTTTAGCACCTGTTTCTTCCTGTAGCCTCTTCAAGGAGTTTCCTCTTGGTCCAAGCAATTTCCCCACAAAATTGAACTAGGAAACAAAATCAATAGAATGTATTTTTTAAGGTACAGTAAAGTGATGATTTGCACCAAGAATAATTGATGGGTTACAGGTTTTTGAAACTTTACCATGGAGAAGTCAGTCATGCCATTAACATACACACACACACACACACACACACACACACACACACACCATTTCAGATAATGAATCTTAAAGGCTACATCTCTTCCTAAAGAAATGTCAAAGTCAAAAGTATGTTGAAAATATCATTTTAAATATATAATAAAATAAATCACTTATTAGGTAGAATCATGCTGGTTTACAGAATTTTAAAGGCTTTTTCTCTCACACGAGATTATTGAAATAAAAGATGGTTTTTAACATAAGTCTACAGACCATCAAAATTGTAAAAGTTTGCAATCAATATTTTAAAATTGATGTTTTAAATCAACTTCTAAAATAAAATTTGATATTCAAGTTTGTTAAGCATTGTCTGGTACACGTAACTTTCTATTGCCACTTTCATAATCAGGAATAAAGGAACTCAATTATTCTTCAATCTTACATTCTCTATGTTAAAGAGTTATTCCAGGATTAGTAAATAAAAGATGTGCACATATAAAAGTTTAAAAACAGTATTTATAAAACATATACACAAAACACTTTTTCTAAATAAAAAATTCTGGGGTCCATACAATCTGTTTAATCATCTTGAAACATGAATAAGAACAAGTGAACCAAGAACAGTGACGAAAGTATTTGTTAGCTACTAAAAAAAACATTATCAAACTGAATGACTGAGGTAATAATTTGTGCCACAATCCATTGATTAAATTAAAAATGCAAAGAGCACAGAATGCATCAGAAACTATGTTGGGAACATGAAGAACAATGATTTTCTTTTTTTTTTTTTCTTGCCACTGTCCCACAGTAAGAAATATGCCACAGTTAATGGTATAAAACTCAGTATTTTCCCCAAGTCCAGGATAAAATGAAAAATGTCCACTCTTACCACATTTATTCAATTTTGTACTGGAGTATGGATTATTGTACATATCAGTAAAGAGATATGAGACAGTATAATGCCCAAAAAGTCTATACATAGATGGTCGATTTATTTTCCAGAAAAGTACCAAAGCAACCAAATTTGAAAAGTAATGTTTTCAATAAATGGTACTGAAACAATTGAATATCTATATGAAAAAGAACCGAACAAAACAAAAGCAAACAAACAAACAAAAAAAGGTTTTTTTTTTCACACATAAGCAAACGTTATTTTGAGACTGATCATGAAGCATATGTGATATCTAAAATTATAAATATTCTAAGAAGAAAAAATTTAAAAAAAACCTTTGTGAATCTAGGTTAGGAAGACATTACTTAATTAAGAAGCAAAAAGCACTAGAAAAATCCCTAATGACCAGTGAGGATGAGCTTTTCTTACATACTTTTTTGACTTCATAAATGTCTTCTTTTGAGATGTGTCTACTCATATTTTTAGCCCATTTTTGATGGTGATTTTTTTTTCTTGTAAGTTTGTATTTTTATCATTTTTGTAGATTCTAGATATTAGACCTTTGAGAGATGAGTAGATTGCAAAAATTGTCTCCCATTCTGTAGATTGCCTGTTATCTAATGATAGTACTATCTCACCTCAGTTAGAATAGCAATTATTAAAAAGTCAGGAAACAACAGATGTTGGTGAGGCTGTGAAGAAATAGAAACGCTTTTACACTGTTGGTAGGAGTACCAATTAGTTCAACCATTGTAGAAGACAGTGTAGCAATTCCTCAAGGATCTAGAACCAGATACACCATTTGACCCAGCAATCCTTTTACTGGATATATACCCAAAGGACTGTAAGTCATTCTACTATAGAGACACATGCACAGGTGTATTTATTGCAGCACTATTTACAACAGCAAAGACTTTGAATCAACCTAAATGCCCAGCAATGATACATTGGTTGAAGAAAATGTGGCACATATTCACCATGGAATACAATGTAGCCATAAAAACGGATGAGTTCATGTTCTTTGCAGGGACATGGATGAAGCTGGAAACCATCATGCTCAACAAACTAACACACAGGAACAGAAAACCAAATACTACATGTTCCTAGTCATCAGTGAGAGTCAAAAAATGAGAATACATGAACACAGAGAGGGGAACACCACACATGGGAGCCTGTCAGGGTATGAGGTGCAAGGGGAGGGAGAACATTAGAACAAACACTTAATGCATGCAGGGCTTAAAACGTTAATGATGGGTTGATGCGTGCAGCAAATCACCATGGCACATGTATACCTGTGCAACAAAAGCTAAAGTAGACAAATGGGATCTAATCAAACTTAAGAGCTTCTGCACAGCAAAAACTATCAATACAGTGAACAAGCAACCAAAAAAATGGGAAAAAACATTTGCAATCTACCCTTCTGACAAAAGGTTAATATCCAGAATCTACAGAGAACTTAAACAAATTTACAAGTAAAAAACAAACAACCCCATCAAAATTAGGCAAAGGATATGAACAGACCCTTTTCAAAAGAAGACATTTATGCAGCCAACACACATAAAAACAAAAAGCTCATCATTACTGGTCATTAGAGAAATGCAAATCAAAACAACATTGAGATGCCACCTCATACCAGTTAGAATGGTGATCATTAAAAAATCAAGAGACAACAGATGCTGGAGAGGATGTGGAGAAATAAGAATGCTTTTACCCTGTTGGTGGGAGTGTAAATTAATTCAGCCATTATGGAAGATAGTGTGGCAATTCCTCAAGGATCTAGAACTAGAAATAACATTTGACCTAGAAATCCCATTATTGGGTATATACCCAAAGGATTATAAATCATTCTATTATAAAGACACATCCACATGTATAGTTGTTGTGGCACAGGTCACAATAGCAGAGACTTGGCACCAACCCAAATGCCCAACAATGATAGAATGGATGAAGAAAATATGGAATATATACACCACAAAATACTATGCAGCCATATAAAATGATGAGTTCATGTCCTCTGCAGGGACATGGATGACACTGGAAACCATCATTCTCAGCATACTGACACAGGAACAGAAAACCAATCACTGCATATTGTCACTCATAAGTTGGTATTGAACAATGAGAACACACAGACACAGAAGGGAACATCACATACCAGGGCCTGGAGGGTTGGGGGCTAGAGGAGGAACAGTAGGGGATGGGAGGATTGGGGAAGGATAGCATTAGGAGAAATACCTAATGTAGATAACAAGGCAATGGATGCAGCAAACCACCACCATGGCACGTGTATACATGGCAGGCATGTAACAAACCTGCACGATCTGCACATGTACACCAGAACTTAAAGTATAATAATAATAATAATAAAGGAAACCTGCATATTCTGCACATGTATCCCAGAACTTAATGTTAAAAAAAAAAAGAGTGATGAGAAAAAAAAATCCCTACTGACAAAAAAAAAAAAAAAAAAAAAACATTAAAAAATTGAATAGATAAGCGATAGGGTAGAAGGAAACACTTTTTTTTTTTTTTTTTAAGACAGAGTCTTGCTAGGTCGCCAGGTGCCAGGCTGGAGTGCTGTGGTGCAATTTCAGATTTTGCAACCTCCGCCTCGCAGGTTCAAGCATTTCTACTGCCTCAGCCTCCTGAGTAGCTCAGACTACAGGTGTGCGCCACCACACCCAGCTAATTTTTGGATTTTAGTAGAGACAGGGTTTCACCGTGTTGGCCAGGATGGTCTCGATCTCTTGACCTCGTGATTCTCCTGCCTCGTCCTCCCAAAGTGCTGGGATTACAGGTGTGAGCCACCTCGTGGGCTCTTCTTTTTTTCTTTGGAGATATTCCTCAAGGAAATTTAATATGAATGTACTGATAAGTGAATTTAGCAGTAAGGACATGATGATCTGTTTTGTGATTTGGGGATGAAAAACTGGGAGAATGTTAAACAGAACCTAATATGAGGAGAGGTGTTTTTTTAAATTTAATATATATACATTTTTTGTACTTTAGATTCTGTAGTACATGTGCAGAGTACACAGGATTGTTGCGTAGGTACATATATGGCAATGTGGTTGTCTGCCTCCATCCCTCCATCACATATATCTGGCATTTCTCCTGGTGTTAACCCTTCCCAACTTCTCTACCCCACACTGTCCCTCCCCTAGTCCCCCTCAATAGACCCCAGTGTGTGATGCTCCCTCCGTGTGTCTATGTGTTCTGTTGTTCAACATCCGCCTGTGAGTGAGAACATGTGGTATTCAATTTTCTGTTCTTATGACAGCATGCTGAGAATGATGTTTCCAGATTCATCCATGTCCCTACAAAGGACACAAACTCATCATTTTTATGGCTGCATAGTATTCCATGGTGTTATGTGCCACATTTTCCTTTTCCAGTCTATTACTGATGGACATTTGTGTTGGTTCCAGGTCTTTGCTATTGTAAACAGTGCTGCAATGAACATAGGTGTGCATGTGTCTTTATAACAGAACGATTTGCAATCTTTGGATATATACCCAGTAATGGGATTGCTGGGTCAAATGGAATTTCTATTCCTAGGTCCTTCAGGAATCACCACACTGTATTCCACAATGGTTGAACTAATTTACACTCCCACCAACAGTGTAAAAGTGTTCCTATTTCTCCACATCCTCTATAGCATCTGTGGTCTCCAGATTTTTTAATGATCACCACTCTAACTGGCATGAGATGGTACCCCAATGTGGTTTTGATTTGCATTTCTCTAATGACCAGTGATAATGAGAGTTTTTTTCTTATGTTTGTTGGCCTCATCAATGTCTTCTTTTGTAAAGAGTCTTTTCATGTCCTTTGCCCACCTTTGAATGGGTTTCTTTGCTTTTTTTTCTTGTAAATCTGTTTTTAGCTCTTTATAGATTCTGGATATTAGCCCTTTGTCAGATGGATAGATTGCAAAATTTTTTCCCATTCTGTTGGTTGCTGGTTCATGCTAATGATTGTTTCTTTTGCTGTACAGAAGCTCTAGAGTTTCATT